TCTTCATACCCCTCACCTATAAAATAAGGTTATTTTCATCTTTGTCAAATTCTGATGACACAGTTTCAAGTTGACTCTTGAAATGTAGTTTTATGTTTGTATTGTAGTTTCAGTTCTTCTTCAAAAAAAGATTTTGTTTCAATTTGCTCTGTGTTTATTTAGGATAAATCCCCACAAATCATGTTAATTTCCAGCCATCCATTTTCTAACATGCTTATCCCTAGTGGGGTTATGACGGGTGCTGGTGTCTGTCTCCAGTGGCCAACGGGTGAGAAGCGCGGTTCACCCTGGACAGGTCACCAGTTCATCACAGATCATGTTAATATGTTATTAAATTATTTTTGCAGACACCTATGAACTTCGTCCAAATCCTGCCAGAGGTTTGAACAAAAATAATTAAAAGGAAGAAAGCACAATACATCTGAAAATCAGATGTTTGATGACAGAATGTCATGGAAGAAATTACTTTAACTAGAGTCTAGATGAGAAGAAATAAGAAATTTATTAAAACCTTGCCTTTTATAGGTTCTGGTCAGAGAAGAGAGACTTGATTGGACTATAGGTGTGAATCCCTCATTGTTATGCACCAAGGATTCTGTGGAGCCCAACACTGATGGTCTTGCTATTTGTCTGTTGTTAAGGAAAGGGGGTTGTTCTTTGATGCTAAAGGGGGCAGATAAGTTCTGGGTTGGGGAAGTAACGCGTAGACTCCAGGATCAAGGAGCTCTCCCCTGCTGTTAGACACTGCAGAGATCTATGTGAGAATAGCTTGACCAATCTCATAAGACTATGCAGATAATCTGAAGCAGAAGAGAGGTGATGAGCACATTATAAAATGTTCTATTTATATAGAGCAATCTTAAATAAAAAACATTGGTATCGGTGAGTTGTATGGAGCTAAATAGGAGCCATACAGTTTGTTAAAAAAAACAAAACAACAACAATAGATAGACACTGCATATAAAAACATGTCTATTATCGATGAAATCTGGTTCTATGGATTCCTAAGGCCACTTCCAATATTATGGAAGTCATAATGTCATCCTTTCTTTTTTCAGTTTCAGATCTTTTTTTTTTTTTTCAATTTCAATTTTATTTGTTTTGATCAAACTTTATGGCCCCAATTTAGCTCCACAGAAACGGGCTGTGTATTTACTTCGTATCGGTTTGGTACAATCATTTTCAGTATCTTACACCTCTAGTATTGGAGCAAAGACATCAATAACTGGCAGGACTGGAGCTGGACACCCATGGACTGGAGAAACGTTTCACAGATTTAGATCATTTCATCATGTGTTGCTGCATGATTCCTTGTGGATTTAGTGCAGTGCATCTGTGGCCTCTGAATATACTAAAACATTGCAATGAGTTTATTATGAGGCTGAGCACAGCTGGACATGTCTCGGCTCTCTTTTCAAGCAGTTTATCTATTCACCAGTCAGTAAAGCTGCCAGAAACAAAGCAGGCCCTATTACATTTTGATGTCCTAAATCTCCAGATTGTGTGGCTTTTTGTTTTTCTCCTTTTCTTTATTTTATACTGTATTGCAAAGGAAGCCAACGATAAGAAAGTTTTTGGAATACAATTGGCCATCTAATATCAGTTTTCTGCCTTTTGAATGCGCTTGTCATTAATCTACAGTCACCGTTGTTCAGGCACTAATGTGTTGAAATAAGTTGGATGCATTAGCATTCAGGTGAGAACTTCTCTGCCTTCAATTCACAATCAGGTGCTAAAACATTGTTGCCATTGTTATGCCTGCATACAGATACAGACATATTTATTCACTCCATGTTGGAAGACGTGTGAAAAGCCTTGAAATGAATCCATTTTTTGGATTTGTAGATCCATTTTAAACAGGAACATTTGGAAAACATCCAATCTTGGATTTGAGCAGAGGGGCGAATCCCAGATTGAGAAATAACAGTTTTTAACAAAGTCACCAATTACACAATTGTTGCAACTTTTAAAAAGTCCTTGAAGCACAATTGGTACTTGCATTCTAAATTAATAATCCATGACTATATCCATGAGTCAGAGGTCAGTTTCTTTCAGCCACTAGGCTTGTGGAAAAGATCCACTGTAGACTTATGTTGTGTGTGAAAAAAATTAAACTCATAATCGGTATCATAATCTTTCAAAACACTGAATGAAGGTTGAATTCTTTCACTTCAAATTTATCCAGATGAATGATTTACTAGATTTGCACCAATCTAACAGATAATCTGTGAAAAGATTAATCTTCTCCACTTCCTCTCTGAGCTACTTTTGCTGTCTGAAGAAATGCACACCAAAAACAACCAATCTGAGCCAGGAGGAGGGGATTAGTGCTGTTCTACCTCATGTATGCGCTGCTAAATGTGCAACTTACCGTTACAGAAAAAGCCATTATCTGCTGCCATTGGTGGCAGCAGACAAACTTAAGGCATACACAGGAATGATTGACAGCGC